CAGGCAGCTTCTCAGAGCAGCAGTATCCCGAGCGGAGCAGGGGCCGTGGACAGCAGAATGCCGCGCCCACCCACCACCTGCTCGCGATGCGACTCCGAGGGAGGGAAGACGGGAGAGGCCCACTGCCCCTCCAGTCACCACGTGACTGAGCCCTCATTTTAAGGGGTGCACACTGAGACCCAGAGAGGCAAAGAGACTCATAGAAGGGGGGGCAGTTTGGGGCCTAGGACCCCTGACTTGGTCCCCTGTCCTTTCCACCTCTCTCCACCTCACCCATCCCCTCTCGTCAGCTGCTTTCCCACCCCCTCGGAGAGACTCGTTCTTCCTCCCTCTGCTCCACTGACAGCAGCAAAGAGGCTGTTCCATGTTTTCCACCAACTCGTTAAGGATTTTCTGACCTTCGGTGACAGGCCGGCCTGAAGCCACCTGGACTGGACAGTGACACACACACTCAGCCAGCTCCAATCTCCCCCCGTGAAGCCCCAAACCTAGAGCAACAGCTCTTCCCCGGGGCCGAGGCGGCCTGGCGGTCGCCAGGGCAATGCCTGCCCTTTGCGTAGGACCCCAAGCCTGGACTTCAGATTCCCGCCGTCCTGCTTTTCCCAAGGGCACAAAGCCCCTTCCCCCAGCAAACCCTGCCGCTCCCCCTCGAACGCCTCCGCGTCTTTAAGGTGCAACCTGGGAAACAACCTCACAAACAGAGACTTGCTCAGTCCTGAGAAGCCACGGCCTGAGAGTCAAGAGCGCGGCTTGGGGTCCGGGTTCGAGTTAGTGGCCAGAGCGCAGGACTCTTTCTCCCTCGGGGGTCACCTTTCAAAACTGCCCCTGCCCAGCAGGAGCCTCTGCCTAGGACACGTGGGGCCCTGGGAGGCTCCGCCCAGCGGGCCCAGGGCTGGACCGGAGCTCACAGGAAAGACAGTGCCCAAGCGTTTTACTTCATAAAATAAAAATAAAACCGACAGCTTTGGCTCATCTGACTGATGGAAGGGACAAGCTGCTGAATGAGGTGGCTGAAACGTCCGATGCCACGTCACTATGCATATTCTTCTTGGTATTTCCTATTTCCTACTTGCTTGTGAGCCACAAGATTTAACTATAACCATTAGGAGCACAGACAGCAGTGGGCATTTCACAGAATGAAAGATTCTACTAACAGCACACTTAAGGTCATAGATCTTTATTAGGCCTTCCTTTGGAATTAAGAAATAAAAAATATTAGCCTGCCATCTTTTAGAATTAAAATTAAGCCTGCCGTCGCTTGGCCTGGGTAGGAACACCACTTAGGCAGTGGCTGACACCACCTTGAAAAGCTGGAAGTTAGAAGAAAAAAGGTCTAGTCTGGTTCCGTGTAAACGTAGGCAAGTTATTCCAGTTCTATGTGACTCAGTTTCCTCAAAAAAAAAGAAGGAAAAAAAAAAAAAGACTGGTACTGACCTTTCCCGGGGAACAGTGTGTAATGTTAGAACGTGCTCCAAGAAAGGTTGCAGAACATCAGACAGTGATATGACCCAGTGTTGCTGAGACAGGTCAAGGGGGAGACAGCAGAAAGAGAACACAAAGCCAATTGCAAAAGAGAAAAGGTGAGCTTTCCAATGACAACCTCACATCCTTTAAAAAAAAAAAAAAGGGATCAGGTGCGAACCAGGGGCCTTAGCAAGAGTGCCATGGCAATGAATCCACGGGAATTCTAGTAGCCTTTTCTACAACTGGACAGCCACACGCAAAAGAACAAAGTTAGGCGCCTACCCCACGCCGTCTGTAGGCATCCCTCGGAGGCACTGTGGGTTTGGCTCCAGGCCACTGCAAGAAAGCTGGTATCATAAGAAAGCAAGTCATAGGAGTTTTGCTGGTGGAGGGTCTTGCCTTCAGTTTGTAAAAAATGTAACATCTGTGAAGTGGACCAAAACTAGCTACACCTGCACAAAAACTAGCTCAAAATGAATCAAAGATCATTGTGAAAACTAAACAATAAGACTTCTTAGAAGGAAAAATAAACATAAATCTTCTTGACCTTGGATTAGGCAATGGTTTCTTAAATTTGACACCAAAAGCACAAACAATAAAAGAACAAACGGATAGGCCCTGGCCGGGTAGTTCAGCTGTTGTCCTGATACACCAAGGTTGCAGGCTCGGTCCCTGATCAGGCACATACAAGAAAACCAATAAATGCATAAATAAGTGGAACAACAAATCACTGTTTCTCTTTCTTTCTCTCTCTCTCTCTCTCTCTCTCTCTCTCTCTCTCTCCATTCTTTTCTCTTTAAAATCAATTTTTTAAAAAAGAAAAGAAAATATGGGTAGTCTTGCATTTCATCAAATTGAAAGAACAACATCAAGGAAGTGAAGACAACCCACAGGATGGGAGAAAATTGTTCCAAATCATATATCTGATAAAGGACCTGTATCTAGAATATGCAAAGCACTCATATAACTCAATAATAAAAAGACAAATAAGCCAATTAAAAATGGGCAAAGGATAAACATTTCTCCAAAGAAGATATACAAATAGCCAATAAGCACATGAAAAAAATGCTCAACATCATTAGCCATCAGGGAAATGAAATCAAAACCACAATGAGATCACTTCACACCCACTAGGATGCTCTCATCAAAAAGACTCATACGATAGCAAGTGTGTGGAGAAAGCAGAACCCTCACCCACCGCTGATGGGAAAACGCTGAGCTGCTCTGGAAAACAGTCCAGCAGTTACTCAAAAAGCTAAACATAGTTACTACATCACCCAGCAACTCAACTCCGATGTCTATTCCCAAGAAAAATAAAAACGTGTGTACATAAAACTTGGACAAGTACGTTTATAGCAGCATTTTTCATAACAGCCAAAAAGTAGAAACAAGTCAAACGCCCATCAAGTGATAAATGGATAAACAAAATGCAGTCTGTCCATTGAATGAACTATGACTCAGCTAAAAAAAAAAAGGACTAAAGTACTGATACACGTTCAATATGGATGACCCTAGAAAGCAATATGCTAAGTCGAAGAAGCTAGTCACAAAAGACCACATATTGTCTGATTCCATCTATGTATAAAATGCCCCAAATAGGCGAAGCTCTATAAAAAGTAGACGCTGCCCCGGACCAGGGAGGTAGGAGAAAAGGGAACGTGACTGCTAAAGGGTACAGGGCTTCTTTGGGGGGGAGGGTGATGAAAATGTTCTAAAATTGATTAAGGTCATTCTGTGAACTTACCAAAAACCATTTAATTGTACACTATAAGTGGGTAAACTGTATGGTAAGTGAATTGTATCTCAATAAAGCTCTTATTGGCTCCTTCTTCCCCCCCAAAAAGGAAAAGGAAGCAGGAATCTGTCTTTACGCTGTAGGAGTACCACACCTGCTGTGCCAACATAATTATTACTACATCCCATTCCCTCTCCAAATGCCCTGGCTTGTAGATAAATGTGCGTCACCCCCTGTCACTGTGTGTTATCAGGAGGTGGCTTTTGCTCCCTGGGGCTTCAGTTTCCCCATCTGTAAACCAGGCTCCCCCAGTTCTGACCACCTCTGACACAGCACTATATCCCAAAAGCTCTACTCCAGAAGCTGTAAAATCCTGCTCAGTTGGCCATAGGTTCATCATGCTTTGGAAGATGAACCTAAACTAGCAAAGAGTTGAAGCCCTGGGCCAGCATTAATTACTGGATCCCAGGAAACAGAGGCAAGACAAAGAGGAATTCCTTAGTGCACCAGTTACCGATATTCAAATTTCCTCCGACGCCACTAAGAAAGGTGATCCGATCACAGCAACGAGGGGAAAACGCTCTAACCACATCCCCTACAAATGAAAAAAAGATCAGCATTTCCTGTGAGGGGCCCTCACAGAAAACACAATATCCTCAGGGAACTCGGCAGGTTTGGCAGCAGGCAGCCGAGTCTTCTCTAAATGGGATTTGGTGAGGCACTCAAGAGGGCTAGGTATTGTGACGGCCAAGGTCACCTGATCACACAATGGGATGATCATGTCCTAGTCCCGTGGTCGGCAAACCGCGGCTCGAGAGCCACATGCGGCTCTTTGGCCCCTTCAGTGTGGCTCTTCCACAAAATACCACGTGCGGGCGCGCATGTACAGTGCGATTGAAACTTCGTGGCCCATGTGCAGAAGTCAGTATTTTGTGGAAGAGCCGGTATTTTGTGGAAGAGCCACACTGACAAGGCCAGAGCCGCATGTGGCTCACAAGCCGCGGTTTGCCGAGCCACAGTTTGCCGACCACTGTCCTAGTCCTCCTCACCCATGACTGCTGAGAAATAACATTACACCACAGGAACTCAACAGGAGTTATTTTGTTCTCATCCCTTTTACACTCGTGAGAATGAGCCTAAAAACAGCCTTTCTACCCACTCCCCACCCTCCCGGGCCTTGTTCTGTGTGGCAGGTCCCACACGCACATGTGGTGTCCGCCCACATGCACAGAGAGGTGCCCCATCTCAGGGCTTTGTAGTAGCAGATCCTTAGGAACAAGGTAAAGTGAAAGAAGGCACGGAGTGAACCCCACTCCCATCAATCCACCCAAGATCAGGACAGACAGATGCTCACCAGGACCATCGAGAACGAAATGAACACGAAGACAGATGATGGTGGCAAATCGCCCCCATCTGGTCAGCAGTCCTGGCCATGGAGCCAGTTACCAGAGAAGAAGGCGAAGGGTGGGGCCGAGCTTCGCCTGGAGGCAGGGGACTGGTCAGAAGGAACCAACACATTGGCAACAAGACAGCCATGAACTAGCCTCCAACTAGGAGAGCAAGGCATTTCAGACCAGACGCCCCCCTCACCGCTGTCGGCCTCTTTAGAGAGGCAGGCGTGGGGAAAGGACCAAGGAACCATTCAAAAGCTGGAGGCCAAGAGCAAGGGAGAGAGGAGCCGGGGAGATCTGCATGCAGAGGTCTGCATGGGTTTCTGCTGGCTGCTGGTGGGATCTGCATGCAGAGGTCTGTGTGGGTTTCTGCTGGTGGGACCTGCATGCAGAGGTCTGCGTGGGTTTCTGCTGGCTGCCGGTGTGCAGCTTTCTTAGATCAGCAAGGTCCCTTCTAGCCGCAGCTGGCCAGGAAGGCTGCAGCTTCCGATGGTGAATTCCTACATCCAAGGGGGTCCACGGGGCTGGGAGGTGGAGGCAGCTGCCGCTCTGTGCTGCTCAGAGGCCACATTTCAGGATGATGTGGTAGCCATCACTGCTTTCCGCTGCAAGAGGGAAACACTGGGCATTTTTCAGGAAGAAAGGCACGGCGCCGTGGCATGGGGGAGTCACGGGAGGCATGGAATAGGGCGCCACGGCAGCCCCATCACCGATGTTGGCAAGACCACAAAATCAGGCTGCACTGACAAAAGCAGATACCTCCACACATGCCTTCCCGTCTGTCGGACAACGGGCCTTCCCACCTCAGCTCCGGGCCCAAGGACCAAAAGACCCACATCCAAGGAGGCTCTGCACACACTGTTTCTCAGGTGAACGGCCTCAGGGCCGTCACGAAGCAGCATCATTCTGATGGACTCCACACACTCACTGCCTTTCCTTCTCCTAACCCACGAGCTCGACTCCTTCCTCAGGAGGGCCCTTCATACCCCCGCCCCCCGCGTCCCCAACCCACCAGACCCAGCTGCTGTATTCCATGCTCACTTTTCCTAGAGCCCGAGGTTTAGAAAAACTCAAACGCATCTTCTGTCCACCTGACGCTGAGTCTGTGGGGAGCACACTGTCTGGCCAGGACTTCCCTTTCAGAAATGACTCTGGGGCCAGTCTCCCTGATCCTCACCCGCCAGGCCAGGCTTCACGGGAAGTTTGTGCTTCTCCTTCCCCGGACGCCCCCAGGTAACATCCTCTAGGGGGACAGTGCGTAGGCAGCCCCCCTCTCTCAGCATGTTACCCTGGGGGTGCAGCCATCATGCTTCAACCAAGCGAAAACAGCTGGTGGGGGCTTTACCTTTTAAGGTGCTGAGGACAAAACAGGATTCATCCTGGAAATTCTGCACCATCTGAAAGGCAAGAGAGAGACCATGTCCCTTCAACCATGAGCTCAATAGGAAAGCCTCAGGGGTAGGAGCCCAGAGCCCGGACTACATTTTTGCTTGCTTTTGTTTTGCTGTTTCCCAGTTACTGGGTCTTCCAGCCCCTATCACAGACACAATACAGGAGCCTGTATGTATATAGTAGCAAAAGATAAAAAAAATTAGTGTGCTTTAAAAACCTGGGTAATTAGCAGGTTCTGATTGTGAGTTCTAGGAGGGCCAAGTACAGGAGTGGGCAACAAACAGTAGGTTTACAGGTTTGAGTACGTGAAACACATCTATAATAATAAAGGGTAATATGCTAATGAGACCGGACGTCATTCCAGATATCCTTCCTGACGAAGCCGGGGCCAGCAGCCAGGGGAAGGCCTACTCTTGCACAAATTTTCGTGCATCGGGCCTCAGTCCTATATAATAAAAGCCTAATATGCTAACGATATGCTAAGGCCACTCAATCGCTCGCTATGACGTGCACTGACCACCAGGAGGCAGGCACTCTGACCGGTAGGTTAGCTTGCTGCTGAGGTCCAGCCGATCAGGACTTAGTGAGATGGGCTGGACACGCCCTGGAGCCCTCCCACGGTCCCTCCCCAGCTGGCCAACCTCCCGAGTCCCTCCCCAGCCCTGATCGTGCACCAGGCCTCTAGTAGTTAATAAAGCTACTGTAATAATCATAACCTGCATGTCTTTTTCCATAATGTGAATGAAAAAGGTGCCACCTGCTAACCTGACAAGCTAGAGGAGGCCTGCGTGAGGCCTTACAGACTCAGACCTGAAGTGACCGCAGAGGACGGTCTGAATGAAAACTTCCCAACTGCAAGAGGTCATGGCGGGCATCATGCCCTAGGCTGGCTCTGCTCCCTGACAAAGAGGTCACGGCGGGCATCATGCCCTAGGCTGGCACTGCTCCCTGACAAAGGCCAGTCTTCACCGCACCTGAGCCCGTCTGCTATCTGGTTTTGCATCTAGGATAACACACCTGATAACATGCCTTTGGAATGTCAACGTAATTTCCTCTTTTCCTGGGCCCTCAAAGCACAGCCTCCCCAGAGCAGAGACTACAGATCCCCCCATTGTCATTGTTGTTGTGTTAGTTGTTGACTGTTAATTACCTTATACCCACCAATGTAAAAGAAGTGTCTATTCCTTTTACTTTTCACCCAATCCCAGAGATTTCTCTGCTTTGCCTTCTCCCGCCTCCCTAATCAATCACCAATGAACTTCATGTAACCCTCTTACACCTTCTCCTTTGACTGTAATGTATAAAATAAAGGGGCAGAGGAGGACCACGATGGCAGTGTAGGTAAAGGCCAGCACTCACCACCTCCCACAACCACATCGAAATTACAATTAAAATACAGAACACCATCATTCAGAACAGCCTGAAAGCTGGCTGAATGGCAGCCCTACAACTAGAGACGTAAAGAAGAAAGCACATCGAGACTGAGAGGAGGGATGGAAGCACGGAGGCACAGAAAGGGCTGGGCCAACACCCATGTGTAGCGTTTTTCTAATTGGGAGAGATATCATGGCTATGGAGGCCTCCTGTGAGGAGCAAGGGGTACCAGCCCCATACCAGACCCCCAGTCCAGGGTTCCAGTGCTGGGAAGAGCAGTCCCCATAACTTCAGGCTGTAAAAACCAGTGGGGATTGTGGCTGAGTGACATGGAGGCGTTTGGAGTGCCAGGGAGTTCTTCTTAAAGGGCCAGCACATGGACTTACCCAAACTCCATCCCTCTGGGCTCCAACACTGGAGTGGCGGCTTGAAAGGAATGTGAGACATTAGGGAAGGAACTGGATTGTCTGGCATCGGGGCAAGAACCTGGGGGTGGCTTTCTTCCAGATGGGGGCACTCACGAGGGTCATTGTTCCTGTGCTGGGACCTCCCCTATCCCAGAGCTGACTGACAGCCATCATCTTGGCTCACAGGGAAAATTTCCATAAGCTTGGCTCACACTGTTTGCTCCATCCTGATGATTCCCTGAGACCACACCCCATCCAATTTGCAGCCCCACTGAAGCTGTTTGCATTGGCTTTTCCATATATATGGCCTGTCCAGGTTCAGGCTTCAGACTTTCCTAAAATCTCTTAAACAAGAAGCAGCTGACATCAATAAGAGAATTAAGACCCAGCACTAGCACCAGCCTGCCTTGCTTCACAGTTGGGTGCGCTTGGTCACTTCCAAGCCCAACACAAGTAGTAGCCATCTGCAGATCTCTCTGCAGCTCTTACCCCAGGCAGTGGCTGACTTTGCAACTCCTGAGAGGCCTCAGAGCCAGTGCACCAAGTGGACAGCTTCAGACCATAGCAGATCACAACTCTACACATTCACAAGTGACACACTCAAGGGGAAGACACAATGCGCACCAAAGCCCCACTGAAGCAAGTCCCGCTCCATAGAGGTGTCTCTTGCACAGCAGCTCTTCCACTGTAGTTGCCACTGGTCCTTACAGCCAATTGGTGTGGGGGTCAAGTACTTCCAGTGACACCAACAGCAATCAAAGCTCAACTACAACAAGACAGTGTACACAGCCCACACAGGGGCACACCTAGAGTGCTTAGCTGAGAAGACTGGGGAGGTTGAGCCACTGGGGTCTACAGAACACCTACTCCACAAGGTCACTCTACCAACTCCAGGAGACACAGCAGCTCAACCTAATACAGTGGGGCCTTGACTTACAAGTGTCCCGACTAACGAGTTTTTTGAGATACCAGCTGTCTCTCGACCGATTTTTTGCATTGAGTTGATAGAGTAATTTAAGTTAATGAGCTCCTTAATGAGCTCCTTAACCAGCTCAGTCTCGGAACGAATTAAACTCGTAAGTCAAGGCCCCACTGTACATAGAAACAAACACAGGGAAGCAGCCAAAATGTGGAGACTAAGAAACATGTCACAAACGAAAGAAATGGAAGCAAGCAAACTACTGGATACAGAGTTCACAACAATGGTTATAAGGTTGTTCAAGGATCTTAATGAGAGCTTCAAGGGACTTACTGAGAATTTCAAAGACATGAAAAAGGACCAATGAGAAATTCAGCATACATTAACTGAAATAAAGAATAATTTACAGGGATGCAGTAGTAGAGGATTTTGAGAATCAAATCAACGAATATGAGGAAGGAAAAAACACCCAATCAGAAGAGCAAAAAGAATAAAGAATCCAAACATATGAAAATAGTATAAGGAACCTCTGGGACAACGTCAAGCATAACAACATTAGCATAATGGGGATGCCAGAAGAAGAGATAGAGCAAGATACTGAAAACTTATTTGAAGAAATAATGACAGAAAACTTCCCTACCTGGTGAAGGAAATAGACTTACAAGTCCAAGAAGCACAGAGAACCCCAAACAAGAGGAACCCAAAGAGACTCACACCCATACACATCATAATTAAAATGCCAAGGTTAAAGACAGAAACAATCTTAAAAGCAGCAAGAGAAAAGCAATTAGTTACCTATAAGGGGGTGCCCATACAACTGTCAGCTGATTTCTCAACAGAAAGTTTGCAGGCCAGAAGGGAGTGGCAAGAAATATTCAAAATGATGAATAGCAAGGACCTACAACCAAGATTACTCTACCCAGCAAAGCTATCATTTAGAATTGAAGGTCAGATAGAGTTTCAAAGACAAGAAAAAGCTAAAGGAGTTCATCACCACCAAACCAGTATTACATGAAATGTTAAACAGCATTCGTTAGAAGAGGAAGACAGAAGAAAGAAGAAAGGGGAAAGAAGAAGAAGAGATAAAAAATATGAACAATAAAGTGGCAATAAATACATATCAACAACTGAATCTAAATCAAAATAAACAAGCAAGAAATTTAATGAACAAAATAAACTGATGAATAAAATAGAACAGAGGCATGGAAACATGGAACAGACTGACAAATTTCAGAGGGAAGGGGGAAAAGGGGATGGGAAGAGAATAACCAAAAATGTTCTATGCATATATGCATTACCTATGACACAGACACTAGGGTGGTGAAGGCCTGGGGCGGGGCAGGAACTGGGTGGAGGGAGGCACTGGGGGGGAAAAGAGGGGGGACACCTGTAATACACTCAACAATAAAGGCTCCAAAACAAAAACAGGAAGCAAATAAGATGTCCTGATAGGTACATGTATAAACAAACTGTGGTATATCCATAAAGGGGAGCATTATTCTACAATAAAAAGAAATGAACTATCAAGCCATGACAAGACATAGAGGAACCTTAAATGCCCATTGTTAAGTGTCAGAAGCCAGTCTGAAAAGGCTACTTACTATATGATGCTAACCATATAACATTCTGAAAAAGGCAAAACTATCTAGATAGTAAAATTATCAATAATTGCCTGAGTTTCAAGGGACAAGGAGAGGGGAAGAGGGATGAAGAGGCAGAACACAGGGCACTTTTGGGGGCAGTGAAGTGATTGTACATGAGTGTAATGTACATGACATCATGCGTTTGTCAAAACCCACAGAACTGTACAGCAGCAAGAGTGACATCTAATGTAAACTAGGGACATTAGTTAATAATATACCAATATTGCCTCATCAATTATAACAAATGTACCACACTAAGGATAGAAGAAATTGTGCATGTGTTGGGGGGGGGGGGGGGTAATGGGAACTCTATGCACTTCTGCATAATTTTTCTATAAACCTAAAACTGCTCTAAAAATTTATATTTTTATAAATTATAGTGTATTTTTAAAAAGACTGGGGGCAGGGAGGGAGACAACAACCATAAAAAATATAATAAAATAACGTGCAAAACTGCCATTCTCTCAAACTGTTGAGATTTTGCTTCCTGGCAACTGTCGTCAGTTTGGCTCAAATAAACTCATAAAAAAATCTTATAGGTTTGGACGTTTCTTACCTGGACAATACGAACAGCTGTAAGCCTACCTTTGCCCACCCCTGTCTAAACAGAGCGCCACTCCCTGCATCTCAAAATGTGGCAGGAATTGAAGATTCCTCACCAGCCACCTCTCGGGAGTTCCCATTTTGATAAACTACCTTGTGATTTTGGACAAGTTTCTTCCTGTCTCATGTCCTATCTGTAAAATAGGGCTGTTTCGATGATAAAAATATAACCAGGATGTAGACTGATGGAAGCTGGCATCATGACTGCTGGGTGTGACTGTGTACAAGTGCTTTGCAGAACTGTCCATGGGCCTGTGAACATGACCCTGGAACATCTGCCCTCCAGGCAGACACACTGGAGGACTGCGCGCACACACACAGAGCACCACACGCACAGAGCGCCGAGGAATGTTCAATGTGGCACCCAAACCCCAATCGGCCCCATGCTGTCTGCAGTGCCAGCAACCTCCAGCAGCACACCTCAAAGACATCAAGTGGGAAAAAAGGAAGTCACAGACACCACACGCTATTATTCCACTTACTAGAGGCCCGGTGCACGAAATTCGTGCACGGGGTTTGCCGGCCAAGGGGAGGGACCAGGGGAGGTTGGTTGGCTGTGGGAGGTTGGCTATGGGAGCGCACTGACCATCAGGGGGCAGCTCCTGCATTGTGCGTCTGCCCCCTGGTGGTGAGTGCATGTCATAGCAACTGGTCGGCCGGTCATTCTGGTCGTTCGGTCACTTAGGCTTTTATATATATATAGATATGAAATTTTTAAATAGGCAAAATTCAGCAATACATTGAGGAGGAACAAGAGAATGATTAATACAAAATTCAGACCAGCAGGTGGAGGGATGGAGAGGAATATGAAATGAGCTCACAAAGGGGCTGCTAACATAACACTGTGTTAACCTCAGGGCAGGTACTGGGTACTTCGGTTATTCTTGAAACTGTGCACATACACTTCATATACTCTTGGCATACGCATGCTGTATTCCACTATATAAATGGAAAGAATTCTAAAAATACACACACACCACACTCACACACTAGCCAATACGACAGCAAAACCCTTTCCAACTTAAAAAATGCAACCACATTTTATTGCCTGTCTGGATTACTGCCCCAAATCCTGCAAACCCACCCACCTGTAGACCCCGGCCCCACCCTGCAGGGCCTAATGATGTGTGAAGCACATTTATTCTGTACTGTTGGCCTGCTCCTGCGAGGTCCCTTGGCAGCCACCCACTTGGGCATGCAAAGCCCGAGGCAGAGACCACACGGGCTTAATCAGTAACTCCCTCATTTAATTAAGTGCCCTTGCACCCCAGGGGCCGCTCGGCGGCTGGCCAGACTGCCTGCAGTGCTCCGGACAATTAAGAACCAGAGGTTTCCAATTGATTTGGGGTTAAGAGGCAAGGAGACTTCGGGGAATAAGAATGGCCTACTTAGCTGAGGTGGCATTTGAGTTCTGTTCTCTGCTTCACTTGCTTAACTGCCTACTCTTGGGGGCACAGGGCAAGCTGGGGAAGGACCTTCCTTCAGGGACCAGTGAAATTGCAAGGGTTCCATACATTCTTGGCTTCTGTCTTCACAGAAGAAATTCATTCTGAATTGCAAAGTAACAAGTTTTCCACGCCACAACAACAACCCACTGCTCAGGGCAGTTTGACCTTCCTGGCTAGTCCAAAGTTAAGTTCTCAGGCCAGAGACTCTGGGCTTCATTTTCTTTATCTGTGAAATGGGGCAAAGAAATAACTGCATTAGATTTGAACATAATGACATGGAAGGAATTCTGACCTCGGGACACAAACAGCAAAGTGCAGAGGGATGTACAGCTGCATGTGGGTTGCACGTTTGAGAAACCGGAAGTACACGCTCAGGCACACAACACCACTGACATAAGACTATCGGGCAGCACCTCATCACACTTAAGTAAACTCCTGCAGGAAGAGAGCGGGGAAGCCAGGGCCTTTCACACCTGCCTTCTGCTGCTCCACGCTGCCTGGCTGCTTACTCTGTGAATTGCTTTTTAAATAAAAAGGAAGGAATACCACCTCACCTCACCTCACGGACCTCCAGGATGAGATACCCATGAAACGGGCTCTGAAGTATAGGATTATTACTAATAATGACAATTTATGAAATAAATATACACAGACCATTAAAAGCCTTACATTTTATACATCGTCAAATTTAAAGATCTGTCCATCACTTGCTCCCCAAAATAACAAGTGCCTAGCACTGTCAACAACAACATCCACTGCTTATTTAGCATCTTCTGGTACCTAACACAGTTTCCTCATTTTATCCTTACCTGCTCGATAGGTATAATTATCCCCATTTTACAGATGTGGAAACTGAGGCTCAAAGAGGTTAAATAAATTTGCCCAAGGTTGCTCAGCTACTAGGAGCCCGTTCCAGGTGGGGACACCAGTCCAACTCCAAATGCCACATTTTCTCTATGTCCCCAGCAACCACTCCTGTGCCATTTCCCCTAAAATCCTCGACATAGGCTTTCAGAGTTCCCACAGCTGGCTCAGGGTCTGCAGGGGCTGAGCAGGGGGATCAGGGTTCCAGCCCTGCTCCCATCAGCCTATTTTTTTAAAGGGTTCAATATAGGAGAGGTTGGATAGCCTACTGGCTCAGTACTTGGGCTCTACAGCTGGACTACCAGGGATCCCGCCCCCCCACCCCCCACCCCCCGCGCTGACTCCAGCCCTTACCAGCTGTGCAACCTGGCATTGCTCTCTTGTCTCAGTTCCTACCTGTGAGATGGGATAATCCATCATAGGTGGCTAT